ACTCTCTAGTGCCACTTAGTGGCTCTAACACAATCTCATCATTTTGCAAACAATATCTGTATTTCCTGGTATCAGTGTTCTGTTGGTTCCATAGCAATCTCAGGATCATCATAGATATAATCCCTGGATAAATGTAGTGGCACCAAAACGCCCATGAAAACAAGGTTAAGCACACAATGAAGCAGATTCTGTTGAAATGAGGCAAATCAAATGATTTGCTCTGATCACATAGTATTATAGATTGTGCATGTTAATTTCTCTTTATGGGATAACAAAGTGACATTTCTAAAATACTTTTTACAAGTTATAACTTTTAAATCCATTTATATGTTACTGCATGCTTTATCAACTGCTTTGTTGCAATCATGTTTGCAGTTGAGAAAACAGTGAATAGAATCCAGTGTCTTGCAAACAGACTCCAGTTCATGCAATGAGACGGCCTTCTGCCCTCTGCAGGTCCCCACACCCTCCCAAATTCTGCTTCAGAAGGTTCTCCAAAGTGTGGAGCAGATTTTGAGGGCATGCTAGGGATTTAATAAGAGGGGGGAGGAAGAAGAATTACCCCCTCACCTTTCTATTAGTGGAAGCTGATCTATCAGCAGAATAAGCCAACTGGATTCTACCCATTGGTATTTATAGTCACTTGCTCATATATGCCTACATTTTAAAAAGCAAATATCCATAGTAAAAAATAGGTTTTGTGTAGGAGTGTTACAAAAAAGCATGAACAGGACACATCACTAATTCTAGAGATCCTTTTGCTCGTGGGCTGATATAAAATAACCAGGAATGGAGTCCTGCAGTGATACGAATCTGAGAGATACACAAGAAGCAGTTGTGGTGCTTAGTGCTGGGTGGGGATTGCACAGACCTGGGTTCCAGGCCTCACTCTACCATGAAGCTCACTGGGAGATTTGGGGCAAGTCATTGTCTCCCAGCCTCACAGGGTTATTGTGAGGATAAAACAGAGAGGAGGAGGATCCTGAATGCCACCATGGGCTCCTTGGAGGGAAAAAAGCAGTCATATAAACGTAACAATGAATAATAATGAAAACAAATAGCAATAGGATAGTCCACTGTTTGTAAACCCAGGGATTACTCTTAGCAGCAGTTAAAGGGTATCCCTTGGTGACTTTGGGCCAATAATTGAGTCAGCTTCAGGATATCATTAGGATAAAATGGAGAGTAGGTAACCATTATGCTTCCTTACACTCCCTGGAAGAAGGGGGAGAACATAACTGAAAAAAATAAATTAATTGCATAAGATTACTGATCTTCAGCTGGGGATCCATGGATTCATATTCACAGGACGCAGCAAGAGTATTGTCACTATGTTTTAGCATGATTAGTTCGTGGGGATTTTGCAGCTCATTATTAGGGAAACCAGAATGCAAATACGCCAAAAGCAAAGAGGAAAAGCAATGAAAAGAAATTTTTCATTTCATGAAAAATGAAAGGAGTGCTTCTGTGCACTTGTGCAACAAATACATCTGGCACAAAAGTCAAGCCTGGTAGAAGCAAGCAGAAAACACCAACAGAAAAACCAAAGAGAAGGATTCTTACACTGGAAGTAAAGTTATGTTTCAGGTTGCAGAAGTTTAAAACTACTGTCAACATGGATGGCCTGCTATTGGGCACTACTAAAACCCAGAACCTGAGCTAAAATCTCAGTGGGCTACCAGTGGTGTTGCAATCTTTAATGAGTATTAGATGAAGCATCAGTTCAAATGTAACACTCTTGAGCTAATAAGCCATGCTTTAGATTGTAAATGAACCTTGTGCTCACACGCTATATCCTCACCGCTCCTCTCATGTGCCCAGCTTGGTGCTTCAATCACTGTACAAGGCAACCATGACTGCAAGTACAATTGCCTGGTTTGCTTGTTTACATAAAAATGGGCCATGCTATTCTTGAGGGTTGCTTCTATTGTCATGGAGCAGTCTCAGCCATTTAGAATACAAAGCTCTCTTGCTCCCCATGACATTCAGAAAAACTGCTTAGAACTTTTTTTTTTTTGCATTCTGAAATTTCATATAAAACTCCAGTCTTCGACTGGTTCCTAAATGATCACATATCCCAGTGAATTCAGCATCACCACAATTAGGGTGCTAAACTTCGGTGGAAGAAATAGCCACTACTGCCCTATTCTTACAATGGCTTCTTGTGCAGTATTATATTTATTCGGAAAAAAATGCTTACCTTTTCTTATGCCTTCAGCTGCCTTTCTTCCTTACTTCATTTGCTATTTCATTGTAAGTTGGTTGTCACAGCACCGAGCAATTAGTGATGGGTATCAACATATAAAATTCTAAAGCCTTTCCAAGAGGTTTTCTAATCATTCACTTACTTAGAGAGTGGACCGAGACAAATCCTGCCCCTAACCAATGCCATAATGTCTAACAATTACCATAGTAAGCTTTTACACCAACTAATGACCAGAACAAATCATGGTGCCAACCATCAAACCCTGGGGAAGGTTAATATTTCCCAGTTCAAGTATATACTGCAGGAAATGCTAACAACAAAGAACATTACACAGAATAACTTCCATGGTATTGCAATTCACTTTAGGTAAATATCTTTTATGAGTCTTTTGCTAACATCCCAAGGCAAGCATTGAGGGCGGCGAGAAGAGAAGCCAGGAGAGAGGGAGGGAGAAAGCACACAGTCATGCTATAGGATCCGTTGGAAATAGAATGTCCAAATGCAACCTGCAGCAATCAGCATCAGTAAGATACAGGGATACAAACAAGGACCTAAGAATCATGAAATATTATGCATTCTGAACCCTACCTTACACAAGACCAAAATGTCCCATAATATGTTATGATGTTCCATAAATCATTTGTAATTATTTCTAGAAAGTAGCTAACACTGATCATGTATTCTACAAACTAGACTTACCTGGTATAGCTTATACAATTCTTTTAATTCTGTAACATATCTTTAAACAAGAAACTGACAATGACACTCATACAAATCATGAAGAAAAACAAAAGTGTCCAGCAAATTGGTAAATCGTGTGAGTGAACAGATGTTGGCCACACTGTAAGTACCTTTAGTTTTACTGTAATTAGTATTTTATTACAGAAATTATAGTCCTATTTTTCTGACTCACAGTACAATCCTATCCAGAAGATGGTCCCATTAAATTAAAAATGTCTTACTCTCAGGTAAATTTTAAGATTTCAGACTAAACAAAGCACACTCATAATACTATTTCTACCACTGCTATTAGCTGGATTCTGCATGCTATTTTGTATTTTATTGTTATTTTTATTTAAAAAATAGGCAAGCACAAAGTGGATAATATTTCTGACATACAAATCAAATATATATGAACATATGAAGGCAACAATGGGCCAATTTGCAAGTAATGCTAAAGCAGGATTTAGTCTACTTCAACAAGCACAAGCAAAACCTCACTCCTCTTCTTCCTCCTTTGTAGGGGGAGAACTTAAATCAGGATTCCATTTCAGTTGCTATTATTCCTGGTTTGTTATTTCATAAGAACCAGAATTTGTGATTTAAAACTCACCTGAGTACGGAACAGTAAAACTAAGGTTTCTAGTTGGTTTGTTTAGCAATTGATAATAGTTTATTTTAAGCCATAATTCTTGGTTCATATATAACAAATCAAGAATTGTAGAAGCAGAAACTCAAGTGAAATCCTCATTTTGTTTTCCTCCTGGGCATACAGAAGGCGGGGGGGGGGGGAGAAGTATATGAACTCAAGGTTCTCATTTCAGCTTGCAATGGGTCATCACACAGTGCTAAATCCACATGATGCTAAATCTTGGCCAATATGTTGAACTCTTGGTCATCTAAGCCAAGTACTGTGCATTGGTGTGAACTGCCCAGGCAGCTTCAGTTATTGGCTGGTATAGAAATGTAAGGAATAATTAAATGAATAAGAAATAAAATGACAAATAGTGATTCTCTAACTGCAGATGCACCTTAGAACTTTATGCAAGCCAAACATATGCTCTACCACGGAGTTATGGACTGCCCCTTCAGTTAAACTTTGTGTTGGAAAAGGCAATGCATAAAGCAGTGAATGGTGTGTCCCTAACAGAAAGGAAAAGAAAAAAATGAAAACAAAAGCGATCATGTTTGCTTTCACTGTGTGAGAGAACATGTTAGACCATGTTCTGGTTGTGGAAGCATGGTATGGACACCAGAGCAGCCATGCCAGATGAGGCCAAAGGCCTCTCTAGTCCAGCATATGAGCACAATACCACCACAATCGCCCCCAGCACCTGGAATGGAAAGGCACACTGCCTCTGATACTGGAAGAAATATACTGCCATCACGGCTGCACAGCAAATTATGAAACAATGCCAACATCCAGTATTACGATAAAATGTTCAAATCAAATTATGCATTTGACATGCAGTGCCAGCTTGAATTTACTGAGTGGATCCTATTGATAGCTGGCCAATATCATTATGTCAATTAACCTCCCTATCATTTTGGGAGCATTACATAAAAGCAGGAAAGAGAAATGCTACAGTGGAAACTGCTATGATTCTTAGTGAATGCTGTTTGCAAAAACAATGTGAGCAGTATGTCATCTGACTACCTCAGGTGCTGTGATCTTTAATGGGGCTTGTACTAAGGCATGTTCCATCCTCATCTCACTCCTTGTAGCTCAACCTTGGCACTTATTGTTTATTAAGCCACAGTTTTCTGTTGCATCCAAACTAGAGAACATTAGCTCAACCAGATCCTAGTTATCATCTAGGGTAAATACTCCAACCAAATAAGATGGCTACAAGTCCAATAATACCCAGCTAATGAATCCGTAGCATAAATAGGATTCCAACATCCATGTTCCACATGGATCAATAACCTATGTGCCTCTCCCATACTCACATGTGCATTAAACTTGTACGAAGTATTGTATAGCTTATGTCGTGCCGGCAGAAAATAAAGTATACCTCAACAGTTTCGACTTGGGAAGGGAACCAACAATTTCTACCCTCTCCAACTTTCCTACCTTGCAGGAGGCACATCAATGTTTGAAGATACAACTTTGCGCTTCTGTTCGAGAAGGCAGATTGAACGAGTGTTTTCTTTCTCATGCTCATAGACTCTGCCAGGTTTTTTGGTGTCTGCTGTTTTTGAATCCTCTTCTTTCATGGCCAACAGAAAAAAATGTTGGTCTGATAGTTTTTGATTCAGATCACTTTTTAGATCCTCCTGCTGAAATACTGTGAAGGTCATTTCACGCTTTATGCTGGTTGCCTGAAAAATTAAAAACACTGATTAGATTTCTTGCAATTCATGTTAAAATAGGGGGCAGACATAGCTTCTAGGCACTGAATCCTATTTAGCAACTCTGACTCACATTAGTACCACAGTTGCTTTACAACCATCAGAAGCCTCTTCATTTCCCTTCCTAAAGCCATTTGCAAATTGTCAAAAGTGCTCCCTTGGGAGAGTTCCCCACATATTGAAATGCCAATACCAAGGGCCAAAGTAGACTTGATATGAGTTAAACTGAACTGGACAATTTTTGTTTTATATTTATAGCAGCTGAAGGGAGGCCTGAGCAGCCTCAGGGTCTAGGGGTGGAGAATGAGGAGTTTATAAAAAAATCACTTCTCTGAAGCAGCTAGTTGCATTTCAAAGCAATTCATGCAATTCAGTGGCCCTTGGGATATAAATGTCCAGTATATTAGGATCTCTTTCTTAGATAATTGTTGACAATTTAGATTCAATAATTTGAACAAAGCTGGAAAGATGACTTGCTCTAACCATGACCTGTATCTATGAAAATAGACCTGCCCAGTTGCAACTTAAAGCATGCAGATTTTGGTGTAAAGCTTGGAAGCTCCCAGGTGTTTTAAAAGGAATTTAATTAAATGCAGCAAAAGAAAAAAATTAAGACACCCCAAATACTTTAAGTTTGAATACAAGTTGGCAAAAGTAACCAATATGGGCAATTATGCAAGGTTGGCAATATCATATATATCCTTTCAAGAAACTGAAACAGAGACTGGCCACAGTTAAGAGGGTATCACCTCCTATGGCTATCCTGGCATGCAATTCCTGACTTTTCTGCCAATCCACAAAATGAAACTTCCCATTAACAAAACTACCGGTGGCAATGACAAAATCTGTCCAGGTCTAGCCTCTCCTTTCTGAGGGAGGAATCAACAGTTGTCCTTCACTTGCCTACCTGAGGTTCAAACCAAGCTTATTTTGCTACAGCCTGACTGGAGGGTTTCCTTCACCCCAGCCCTCAATTTTCCTTCCTGTGGGATCTGTGCCCTTCACATTTTAAGTTTTGGAACTAAGCCATGCTCAGCAGAGGCTTCTTGGAAGCCAGTTTTTAAAAAATTGCAACTTGCTCTGAACTTATTTTTCCTTTCATTTCCCTCCAATTGTGACTCTGGTGTTCATCTGTCTACCTTAAGCATCCGAAGAGTACTTTCCCACCTACCAATTTGTGTGACTTACTGTTGTAGGCAGACCAACTTATAAGGTTGATCTACATCCTTTATTGCAGATCTTTTCTGTGAAGCTTTGTTAATTGTTGCTCACTGCTAATTCATTTCCATGAAATCATAAATATGCATGAATGAACATCCCATATTCCTATGTATGAACCTGTAGACTACAATCAACATCCAAGATTGTCCTCTGAGTGACTCTTCCAATGGAGGAACAGAAGATGGTTACAAGAGATCTTGTAAGTAGTGGCCCCTCATTACATAACACTCTGCCCAGTGAGGTCTGCCTTGTGCTACTGACATTTTTTGGAAGTAAAGTCCTTCCTCTAGTTCTAGGCATTTGATGTATAAGAATTTCACAGGTCCTGAGATCAGGTATGGATTGTTTAAAATTGTTGCATTTTTGTACATAACTGGTGTTGTATGTTTGGGATATTACTTGTTTGAAAATCACCCAAAGAGCTTTGGGTATTGGATAGTATGGACACAGAGCAAATGAATGCAATGAATGCAATGAATCCTGAATAAACAAATATCCTAACTTTATCATTTTTCACAGACTGGACAGACTCAGATAGCAAATCCAGTGTTGTTAGGGTGGGAGCAGATTCTAAGTAAGTTTTTGACTGTCCACTTAGACAGCTGACACAGAAAGAGCTTATTTCACCACTGGACAAATAACAATCCATCTTTGTTCTTGGCCAGCTTTTTACTGGTCCCAAAATACTCCTAAATGGATAAAGCCCCATATTGTTATTTTGTCTTCCTACACACATCAATAGTCCAGGAACTCTCAGGCAAACCACCAATGTCTCTTCAAGGAACTCTGCATGTTCTCTGAAACCCCAGATTCTACTCAAGTAAGTTAAATTGTTTCTAATTAATTGAATGAACTTTGATTTTGCTTTGGAACATGTGCAATTTTAACCTTCTCTATACTGTCTTGACACGTGACTTCTTTATTTTCCCTTCTTTTAAAACTTTCCTCACATCCATGATGGCTATGCTATCCTTTGTGTTCTTAAGAAATTTCACAAGGTTTAGATAGGTTTTGTGTCTTCCAGGTTTTGAACAAATGACTCCAAAGCATCTACTGTTAAATTATATTTTTCTAGAGTAGGGTAGAAATAGCCTTGGCAATAGGACTTAGAATGCATCAAGAAACTAGACAGCAGAGAATTACTATAAAGTTACTATAGCACACAAAGAAAGTTTACCGTGCAAGCGCTGGTTCTCTGCTTTTGTGCTGTCCTCCTTGTTCACACATTCTACAAGTTGAAATGCATCTTCTTATGCATAGTTACTGGCTAAAATATGCTGGTATTTTTGTATGCTGGCTTTAATCCTCAGCTACCATTGGACTGCAGCCCCTGAAAAGTTTCTTGAAAATCAAATTTGGCCTGAGGTCTGATACAAGTTCTGCACCTCAATTTTCTATGTGTCCAAAAGTATTTTGAACTGAGCAAACATGCACTTATATGTACATATATGCAAAGGCTGTTTGTGTGGTCATATGTTGCAGCGCAGATGAGCTCCTTTCCCCATAAAGCAATGTATATTTGATATCCCCATGTCTGAGCATTTTATACTTATTTCTAACAGCTGAGTTTGATGTCAGTACTATTAAAACCAATACCAGGGCTGTGGCACATTTGGAAACACTAAAAGCAATGCCTTTCAGAATGTGAACCTATAACATTTTCCTATACATCTGTACCTGAGATGCTGCAAAATCCTCCTCCTTACTCATCAGGACGAGAAAGGTGATTCTGCTTGGCCTGACTGGCTACATTACCTATAAGCAGTCTTTGTCAAGCTTATGAAAAGTCCTTTAACTGAATAATCAGCAATGGTGGAAAAAAGCCTTCATAAAGTTAGCTTGTCTATTGTTAATGATCTCCTACAATGGGGTTGGAAATCCAATTGAATTCACATGCAGCCCTGAGCCTAATTTTGCACTGTACCATCAGGCTCCCCACAACTCCAAAGGCTTCCATACTTGTGTCTGAGACAGAATGCACACAAGCAGAGTTTGGAAGTGGGGTGGTACTTAGTGCAGTGAATTTATATATATATGGACAAAAATATATTAGCAATTAGGAAATGTGCAAGGGTTGGGGATTGGGAGATGATGGAGGAAATGCATAATATAGTATTCTGCAGGATAGCAAAAAACTTGGTTAAGACTACCAGAGACCTCAAACTAGCTGGGTTCATCTATAACATGGGTCCTCAAACTATGGCCTGCGGGCCGCATCTGGCCCGCCATGCTGATTTATCCAGCCTGCCTCAGAGCTTTTGGACTCACTCAGAGAAAACGATCTCTGAGCAAGTCCAAAAGCATTGAGCCAGTACAACCACACTCAGTGGAGAGATGTCTGCGATCACAGGTGCACCCATGCACGAAGATGGGTATGATTGTGGTCATTCTTGTGGGGGAGAGGAGATGGCCGAGATCATGCCCACCTTCCCTGCATGAGCGCGCCCACGATTATGCCCATCTCCCCTCCAGCATGCCCATGAGCATGCCAGTTCTCTCCCCCCACCAAGTCCAGCCCCCCAACAGTCTGAGGGACAGTGAACTGACCCCATTTAAAAAGTTTGAGGACCCCTGATTTATAAGGATATATTGGAAAATGAAAGCAGAGAAAGAATGGTGACATCCCTGAAATGCTCAAATACATAATTTCAGATGGATTTGCTACTGCTGGGTTAGATGTTTGAGGCAAGGTTACAAGTTCTCATGGTCTGAACCACAAGAAAGTTTAAGAAAGCCATTTCCTCTTTGGAAGTTCAGTTTAAGAGAACAGAAGGCAGGAAACCTCTTTCTACATATGCAAGGATATTTATGAGATTAATTAAAAAATGGGCCACGCTGTACTTTGTTACTGCTTTTCCAAATTGTGATATCACAAAGTGTCAGAAACACAGAGAAGAGTAACATGAAGAAAGTCACTGCTGAAAAAACCCCACCTCAAAGCTCATTTGGAATCTGGAAAAAGACATACAGAAGAAACAGCAAACATGCAGAAAAAGGTTGTCTGTTCTGGTGATACCAAAATAAAACTTTTTGGCCTTACTGCAAGATGCTCTGTGTGGTGCCAAGCCAGCAGTTCACATTGCCTGGAGAACACCATCCACACAGGGAGGCATAGTGAGGGCAGAATCATGCTGCAGGGGTGCACTTCCTTGTCAGGGGCTGGGAACTCCCATGCAGGCAAGATGGCTGCAGCCAAACACAAGGCTGTGGTGGTGAAAATCCTGTCTCACTCTTGAAGGGTCCTGGCCCATGGCAGTGGTTCACCATTAAGCAGGACAATAACCTAAACACAGCCCAGGTAACACTGGAGTGGTTTGGAAACAAGAACCTGAATTTCTCTGAATGGCTTAGTCAAAACCCATTGAGATTGGAATCTCTGGCAACATTTGAAAGTGGCTGTTCACAAATGATTCCCATTCATCCTGACAGAGTTGAAGCAGTTTTGCCACAAATACAGCAGAATTCAGATGTACAACTTACCCAAAAAGACAGCTATAATTGCTGACAAGGGTGCTTCTCCCAAGTATGACTCAGGGAGTGGATACTTAGCCAACCAACAAGGGCCAGTTTGTTTTCGTTTATCTAACTTTTGAGCCATAATAAACATATTTTGCAGTTTTGAGAGTTTTATGCATGTCAAGTGGTCATAATACCAATTAAATCCAAGTTGTAAAACAACAAAATGAGGAAAACACAACAGGTGGGTGAGTAGTTCTTCAAGGCACTATATCCTGGATCATGTACTAATT